TTAGTACAAGCACTTGGCAGTATATGTGCATGTACAGATACTCATATACACAGAGGCGGTCCAGATAAAACAGTATATCCATTATTTTATCTATTCCAGTAGACTCCAATATTCTCAGCATCCTCTTGTATTTTGTATACTGTAGATTTATTTTCTGTATATGTGTACTTTTTGAATCTCATTTTTATTTATAAACATGAGATTTGCAACATCACACAGGGACAAAATTTATGCTCTGGCTTGTTTCTGTTTCCCTAGACTAGATTGGATAATACATCTTAAACAAAATAGAAGTGAAGCATTTCACACATTTAAACCATTAATGAGAACAGAAAAACAAAAAGGAAAAATCCCTGGCCTCAGTGATATTGATCAGCGAGAAAACAACGGGGTATTTTGTAGCATTACACTAGAGAATCATGAAAATTGTGGTCACTGAAAAAGAAAAAAGGACTCGATATGTTAATACCTCACTCAAATGCTTTTAAAGGTTACATTATTTAATTGAAAACTTCCCTGTTCATTCTCACTTCCTTTTTCCATATGTTAACCTTTTCTTCTTCATTACAGATTTCCACTGTTTGAAACTTCTAATCGAAAGAACTGCATAGCATATAATCCAAAGGGAAATGCTGTAGATGAACCATGTGAAATTAAAAATCGTTTTATCTGTAAGCAACAGGTCATTTAAATGTTTCTTGGGGCAGAGAAGGTGGAGAGTAGAGACCCAACATTACTAATAATGATACATTCACCTGTTATATTATTACTTATTGTCTACTTCTAGAATCTATAAATGTTTCAAATAGTGTCTTAGACAGTTGTCATATATGTGAAACAATGTGTTTTACAATTGATGAAATTTGTACATCTACATTTGAAATTATAAAGTTAATATAAAGAATTTTGTATTTTGATTTGATGTATATATTTAATGTTAAATTTGATGTCGTTTTATTGCAGATTTATGTAACTTTATCTACATTCTTGCTAATTCTCAGCAGAAATTTAAATAAAATTTAATTCACATCAAATAAAATTTACAAAATAAAATTTAACTCACACTGCCTAGGCTGGAGTGCAGTGGTAAGATCGTAGCTCATTACAACCTCAACTCCTGGGCTCAAGTGATCCTCCTGACTCAGCCTCCCAAGTAGCTAGGACTACAGGCGCCATGCCACTATGCCCAGCTAATTTTTATTTTTTAATTTTTTGTGAAGACAAGGTTTCACTATGTTGCCAAGGCTGGTCTTGAACTCATGGCCTCGAGTGATTCTCCCACCTTGGTCTCCCAAAGTGCTGGGATTACAGGTGTGAAACACCATCCCTGGCCCTCTTCACATTCTTGTATGAAGACTGATTTAGGAAAAATGCACTTCAGTTAACTTACAAAAGATATAGGATGAAATATAATATCTTTCATATGTTTAATTTGAACTAAGACAGCTTATGTTGAATTGCACTTTCTAGAGATTTGTAATATTTTGGTTTTATTGTCCATGTGACTACAAAATTATATATTTTTAATTAAAAAATTTAAAATAATATAAGCAAGCATGTAATGGTTATCGATATTTTTTTTGTGCTAACTATTCTATCTCCTTGACCTCCTCTCATGAGGCATTGTCTTCTGTTTTAACACTTAGAGTGTTTTTCTCTTTTATGAATCAAAGCTGGTCTATTTTCATCATTGTTGTGATGAAAAAAATCATTTTGATTGACTTAAGATGGAAGAATTTGGACTGGATGTGGTGGTTTATGCCTGTAATCTCAGCACTTTGGGAGGCCAAGGCGGGCAGATCACTTGAGGTCAGGAGTTCGAAACCAGTATGGCCAACATGGTGAAACCTGTTTCTACTAAAAATATAAAAATTAGCTGGGCATCATAGTGCACACCTATAATCCCAGTTATTTGGGAAGCTGAGGCAAGAGGATCGCTTGAACCCAGGAGGTGGAGGTTGCAGTGAGCCAAGAGTGTACCACTGCACTCTAGGCTGTGTGACAGAGCAAGACTATTCAAAAACAAAAAAGGGAAGGATTTGGAATCTTAATTGCATCTGAAAAACTGCCTCATCTTTGTCATTTAGTGTAATCTAAACATGGAGTAACATCCCATCATAACCCCAAATCCTACTCACACTAAAGGGGAAGGGATGGTGCAGGTGTACACTAGGCCACTGGGGTACCAATTAGAAACCACTTTAGAGTTATGTCTACTGTAGCCACATAATCCTAAAAATATGTTACAACTGCTACTTCATAGTTTATGTTATTTTATTTGTTTATTTTTTGAGACAGGGTTTCATTCCCATTTCCCAGGCTATAGTGCAATGATACAATTATGGTTCACTGCAGATTCGACTTCCTGGGCTCAGGTGATCCTCCCACCTCAGCCTTCTGAGTACTTGGGACTAAGGTGCTATCCACCATGTGCAGCTAATTTTTCATATCATTTGTAGAGATGGGGTTTCTCAATGTTTCTGAGGTTGGTCTTGAACTCCTGGGCTCAAAGGTTCTGCCTGCCTTGGCTTCCCAAAATTCTGGAATTACAGACATAAGCCACTGTGCCTAGCCAGTTTATATAATTTAAACACTGCCTTTTAGTTCCTTAATTGACATATGCTAGGACAAGTAATTATTTTCTGGCTTCCCCAGTATATTAATTCTTGGTTCCTCCATTAGTTGTGAAGTCCTAATTAGGGAAAAGGAGTCAGGCTGGTGGGAGCAGGGGAAAGCAGAAAAAGAAAGCAGATAAGCTATTAGTCTGCCTTTCTTCATGGTCCAGGATGTGGGCCATGTGCTTAAGTATCACCAGACACCTGTAAGTTAACTCACTGCAACCTTGGCATTATCAGTACTGTACAAAGCCCTCTGCAGCATACAGCATAAATGCTATTCCATAACATCCCCAGCAAGCCTTTGTTTCTTTGCAGTCAGCTTTTCTTCTGCTGATGCTGCCTGTTGCCTCCCTGGAAACAGATTTTCCTACTTTTCTTTAATGAATCTGCCTTTCTTACCTACAACTGTCTTCGTAAATTCTTTTACCTCAAAGCCACTGGCTCAGACACCTGTTGCTCACCCACAATATTAGTGTATTAGTCTGTTCTCATGCTGCTAATAAAAATATACCCGAGACTAGGTAATTTATAAAATAAAGAGATGTAATTGACTCACAGTTCTTCAGGGCTGAAGAAGCCTCAGGAAACTTACAATAATGGCAGAAGGGAAAGAAAACGCTTCCTTCTTCACATGGCAGCAGTAAGGAGAAGCTCTGAGCAAAAGGGAAAAAGGCCCCTTATTAAATAATCAGATCTACTGAGAACTCACTGTCACTCGCACTACCACTCCTCACTCCCACAAAATGTGAGGATTATGGGAACTACAATTCAAGATGAGATTTGGGTGGGGACACAGCCAAACCATATCAGTTAATGACATCTAATTCTCATAATGCATGCATAAGAAAGTGAGTTATTTTATAGCTGAACTGGGACAGCTCTTTGTTTATTTCCAGAGATGCCTTGGTGTCTATTTTTGACTCTTGGCCGTGATACGGTCAGAACTCACTATAAACCATTAGTTAGGCCAATTAGCTAACTAATGTTTTATAGTGAGCTCTTTAAAGTTCAAAATCCCTCAGTGGAATCTAGGGTCAATTTGTTTATTGATAGCTTCCACCTGAGATAATGACAAATCTTGTGTCTGCTATGTGACCAGATGGACATACAAGACTGCAGGAAATTTCAGTTTCAGTTCTTCTGAAACCAAGTTTCATCACACAAATATCATGTTTCATCCAGAGATAAAGGGTGTCTTTGTACAAATAAGAACACTGAAGAGCTTGTTTCTTGATGTCTCTTGGTCCCACACTGCTGATTTGAATTGTCTTTCTCCTACTGTAACATATTCCTTTCCCTTATTAAAAGCTTTTCATGAGTATGTTCATTGAAACCTTATAATTCCTTTCAGTTATATATACCTGGAAATGTTAGTTCTATAATTTTTGACTTTCTGAAACTTTTCTCTTTATATCCTAACCAGTGGTCGAAAAACTTTTTTCAAAGAACTATGTAGCATTTATTTTCAACTTTGTGAGCCATTCTCTGTAGAAACTACTCAACCTTGCCATGATAGTCTAAAGAAGACATAAAAAATACAAAAATCAATGGTCTGACTGTGTTACCAAAGAATTTTATTGACAAAACATATGGTGAGACAAATTTGGTCCACAGGCCAGTTTGCCAACACGTGCCCAAGTGTGTGAGGTGAGACTCTTAAGGCCATTATTCTACTTCCTGCTTTAATCTTTTCCAGGTCACTTCTTACCAGTTGTAAATGCACTTATACATTTTGTTATGTGTAATCAGTTATGGTTCTTACTATCAATCTGTGTTCATTTTAAAGGGTAAAAATCTACAAATTATGTGTTATAGGCAAGTTGCAAGATGCTCATCAATGATTTCTACCTGTGGTGTACATACCTTTGTTGAATTTCCTTCTACACTGGGTTGACCTGTGTGACCAATGAAATAAAGTAGAAATGGCTGGGCATGGTGGCTCATGCCTGTAATCCCAACACGTTGGGAGGCTGAGGCGGGCAGATCACCTGAGATCAGGAGTTTGAGACCAGCCTGGCCAACATGATGAAACCCCATCTCTACTAAAAATACCAGCATACAAAACTTAGGTGATTGGCTCCTGTAATCCTGGCTACTCGGAGGCTGAGGCAGGAGAATGCTTGAAACCAGAAGGCCGATGTTGCAGCGAGCCGAGATTGCACCACTGCACTCTAGCCAGTGTGAAAGTTTTAATTGTTCCAACATTAAAATGGTTAGACTTACATTTTTTAGCCAACATAGGTGACAGCTGTTTGCTAAAACGCTAAATAAATTATACAGACAGGCTACAAGAAAGTAAACATGTACATTAAGAACACAATGACTCTGACGTTAACATTTTAGAATTCTTATTTATTGAGAGCTTATGATAAGTCTTCCATACAACCTTTGATTGGTTTGAAGTATGAAATAGATTTCAGAGTAAGGATTTAAGAGAAAGGGCACTTTAACAAATACCATGGCAGCTAAATCCTGTTTCTCTCATTGCAGAGATGGTTGCCTACTCCCAAATATCTCCTGTCTGTCCCCCAATCTCATACAATCAATAAGAAAGCAAATAAAACCACAAAATACCTTACCCTTTCAACATCTCTAGGAGACAGAGTACCACAACCTTCAAATTACCTATAAATAAAGAGATAAATTTGTAAAAGACCACTTACTCCTGTCTACCACTGAACACCTGCAGTGGAGGGTAGGGAGATTAGTCTTTAACATACTCAGAAGAGAAGACTAGTAGGCATAAATGAATCACGGACATAGTAAACACTGAAAGCGAAAACTTCAACAATAAATGCCAAAATACCTAACACGGTTTGAGACTTGGTAGTTCACAAAACCAGGAAAAGGCCTGAAACGCAAGACCAGAAGTGGAAAACTTGGAAAAGAAAGCAATGGTTTCTGTGTGAGAAGCAGAAAATAAAGAATGGATGACACTCCTTAGAGATGTGACTATTGGCCAGGTGTGGTGGCTCACGCCTGTAATCCCAGCACTTTGGGAGGCTGAGGCAGGTGGATCACGAAGTCAAGAGATGGAGACCATCCTGGCCAACATGGTGAAACCCTGTCTCTACTAAAAAGAAAATACAAAAATTAGCTGGGTGTGGTGGTGATACATGCCTTTAATCCCAGCTACTGAGGAGGCTGAGGCAGGTGAATCACTTGAACCCAGGAGGCAGAGGCTGCAATGAGCTGAGATGGCGCCACTGCACTCCAGCCTGGTGACAGAGCGAGACTCTGTCTAAAAAAACAAAGAAAAAGAAAAAGAAATGTGACTAACAAAGAAAATACTTAATTTAAGGAATTTTAAGAATCTTGCAGAAAGGAAGGAGAAAAAAGACATGACAATCATTTGCCCTTCCTAATGCCATCATCTCCAC